GCTGGAACTGATGTATTCCCTTGGTAACGGTTTTACACAATGTTTGCTGAGTGAACTGTTATTGGCTCATACAAAAGCCAGTTTGTTTTACTGGCACACCATGTGAATATTGTGAGTGAGGAGAAGACAGCAGTTTAACAGCAACATTAAAGTGGTCTGTAAATAGTCGATGGTGGTACAACACAGTGCAGAACGGGATACACTGACACAAAATGTCAGGTCACACAGAGGGAACAACCAATCCCCGCTTCAGGCCGCTTTCACTAACCTGTAACACGTATTCTGTTTCAACGATGCATATAACTTAGAAATCCTTACGGATCCTTGTTTGCATTATAAACAGACCCTTTGGGGAAAGTAATGTATATTCCGAACGCCAAAAGTGATATGAACAGTGGGGCAGCTTGTAGAATGTCGTCTTTGTTCAGAATTATATTGAATATAGACATAAAAACTCCAGAACTATACCAAAACATCATTAATATTGTAATGTGTTTGGGGTTTTCTGGATACGGGGAACGGTCATTGGTTATTATTACTTATGTTCCATCTTTGGTTTTGTGTGTAGGATAGTCAATACCCTCCTCTACGAAGAATATCATTACCTATTCTTAGATGGTCTCCCAATTGCGCAGATATATGCTCATGCTGTTCTTCACTGGATTGTCTGGTCCAGACTCGATTATTTACAGACCGCCGCCCCACAGCTGGAATATTGCTGAATGTGGCCTAAAACTATACTCACTCACTCACTCACTTAGATGATCATTGTACTGGTTTCTTGTTAAAACAAGCAATTGGTTTGGGTCCAGATACCAGTGTCAGTTCAAGAATGAAATGTGGTAGTGAAGGTGATAGTATCTGTGCCGGAATCTGGCTGGAGCACACTAGATCTGCCACTTGCATATACAAATAGTTTGTATTAATATTTAAACCGTACTAATCCCCTACAACAATATTTTTGGCGCAACTTGTCAAACTGTTCTAGGATGAAATAATCTGCAACACAATTCTGGGTATTAAAGGCACAAATGAGCTGATCCATATATACCGTGCATCGTGTCTTTTCAAAACTTTCACTCTCTTTGCAAGTACATGCCATATACGGTTCCATTAAACAGCCTGCACTCCAACATATTAGCATGCTGTACACAAGCTTGTACCAACGGAAGGCCTTTACATCCACGTAACTTATGTTATATGATGAAAATGCAATATCTGGAAAGAAGGTGGTGTCGGGTATATCATTAGCAAGTTGTGAAGATTCAGAGATGAAAAAACTGCAGAATAATAAGTGACCGAGTAGCTCGTCACCCTGAATGACACTTCGTCGATATGAGCAGGACTAATGTCCGAAAGACTAAATATTGCTGAGTAAAAAGTGCCCCTTTCAAAACAATTGGTAAAGGACATCACTCAACTCAACCAGTCACCTGAGAATCCCATCAGTTTGGAAAGGGCCACGCTCCTCTTCAATGCAGTAACTACAATGTTACTCTGACATTAGCAGTTTAGGAACAAGAACGGAAGATGCAGCCTCCAACAGTCATTGGAACTTACATTGGAATAGAACTGTTTGAAAACCTGGTCACTGGTACTGGATTGAGGAATGAAAAATTATATTTTAACTAGAATTGTTGTTATACATATTTGATACTTGATGAGAACATATTTCTGGCTTATCTTGATTTATTATTACAGCGAAGAAACGGGATGAAGTCTGTCTTCAGCACACCACGCTTGAAAGTAAGATGCGACGAACGGGGTTGGGTGGCAGGGCTACTGCTGCTGACTGCGGCACAAAACAACATACATGCAGTCAGATGCATCGTGAAATCGTGCGGCATCATTATGGAATGTTCATTTTATTCCGTATAACTCTATTAGACAGTCAGCTGTCATATGCAGACTAAAATTGTGGAGAGTTTTTTTAGTCACACAAGCCGTATGTGTACAAATAAAGAACAAGTATATACATACTCCCATTCTGTGAATAATATCAAATACAGATTTAACACTTCCATACGACAAAACACACTCTTCAGATGAGACGACGTCGTGTGCTTGCAGCAGTTATAGGTCATTCGATTATAACATATGCTATATTGGGATTACACTTTCTTTATGAAGTTTTATCAAGCGCTTACATGATCGGGTCATCGGGCAGGCTGATGAGGTTGATAGACGTCATCGTATCCCAATCGTGTAATGAGGCGCATGATGTGGATCGCTGACCATAAAGTCAGTTCTTAAATACACCAGTCACACTTAGACAGTATTTGATTGTTTGCTTGTTGGTACTGACACAAACTGTTTTGAGATTGTTGTTTGTTGGTTATTTTATTTATTTATTTGGTTATTTTTTTATTGTTCCTTTTTTCTAATTGACAGAGGAGTAAACGTTGAAACCGGTGTACAAACAGTGTAGATCCCCGTAGATCCACAAATGCAATTACGCATTAAGGTCAATTCTTATAACTAAAATAGATTAGCAATGACTTCACATATTGTGTACTTACTTACCTACACAAAAATGTAGACAACGGGACGAAATCAGTGTTATCTACAGCACAAGGCTACACAAATTATATCCCATTTATTGTCATCAGATCAAGCAAAGTATACATTGCTACTGGGCGTTGGCTTTGTGGTGTGACTAATAGTCACATATGTTTTCAAAGTCATCCACGTGGCTGCTAATGCCACACAGTATAAAACACAGCAAAGATTGGGATAATGCTTACTGGGAACGTGCATGTCCTGTATCAGATTCATCGTCCCAGTAATAAAGAACTGTCCTCAGTTATTAATAACTGGTGTGACACGACAGATATATGTATCTATGTTGGTTTATTTTAGTGAATCAATAACTCATCTGTTGAACCGATAGGCATATTCCCCATCACATGCAGTCCAGTTTCTTGAAATCATGGAATGCTTTGGCGCAGAATCACAAGTGCGAGATAGAAAAGAAAACATTTATCTCAACTGAAGTAATAGTACAGAAGTAATAAAGCTGTCACATATCTAGTCTTCTTAGGAGGCAGAGCTCTGCGTAAATCGAGTGTCCAATCGGCTATTAATCCAATTCTGAAGAGACAACAAGAGGGTTTGAGGCCAGCAGTATGACCAACCACAAATCCATGACTTACACTGGCGTTGGATGAAATGAGCTTAAATGATGTCAAATTGATTAGAGTGAGCACATCAAGGTTACTAAGTCTCTTTGATACAAGGAATGGCCACTCACAAGTCTTTTTTCAGTAAATGAGATTACATCTGTAAGCTTTATATTAATCACACAAAGATGCTGCAATCCGCTTTTCTGGTCATTGTTGATGTTGGTGGAATTGTCGCTTGAACAGTTCCAATCAGTCGTGCTATTAATTTTGCCTTAGATGTTATAACTAACTGCATTCAGCTTCAAGCTGTCAGGTGTGTAATTGCAACAACGTGACTTGTGACTTTTTACAGGCCATAGGCTCCTCAGCAAGGATTTGTTCCATCAATATCAGTCTTTAACTCTGTCAGTCAGAACAAGGAAACAGATGAGGAGCTGCAGGCCGTCAATCTCATAATCACATATGACAAGATACGCCAGTTAGGTAATAGAAACACTTGTCATATGCCCTGCACATGCCTATCCGTGTATTCACAGTTGCAATGATAATCTGTTATGATTGAGATCCCAAGTAGCAGCCATGGGGCCTGTTGTTATACACAAGAGAATTTGGTGTTATACATCTGTTGATAAATGATGTATTAAAAAATATTCTTCTTTTTAATTGTTTTTCGTTTGCAGATAACTTATACAATGTAGTCAATGTGACCACTGCATAAAATGACTCTTGTATCATTTGATATTTTTTCCCTTCCTTTTTTTCTCAGGTCTTCGGCCAAAGTCAACACTTTAACTGCTTCAATACCCAAAACTCAGAGAAGCAGGAATAAAAATATTTGCATTTAAATGTTGTCAGTGTTGATTTGGTCAGTGTTGGAAAGAGAACAAAAGAAGACAGGCTGTCATATTCATAAGGACAGACAATTCAAAATTAATACTTGCTGGCGGAAGATACTGCAGTGTAATATTTTATGGCAATATTACACTAGTGTAATACCGCTAGATGTATGACGTCATAATGGTTTACAGTTATGACATCACAATGCTAATACCACTGTCACAATGATATTAGACCTTGCCTGATTCACGCAAAGCTGACAGTCATCACACTTTTAGTAGGCAGTTTCTATCAATTTATGTTGGAGAGTAATAAACAGAATACTACACTCGCTTCTGTGAAGTACCATTTTTATTAAACTCTTTTGCTCGTTTGATACCAAATCATTAATTCGTTTAATAAAAATGGTATTACATGGAAGGTCGTTTAGTATCCTCTATGAATTTCGTTTAAATCATCTAAAGTATAACAATGAAAGAATGAACAAAGGTTTCACAAAGTTCAAATCAGTCCATGTTCTCTCTGTGCACCAAGATACTATTTACCGCCAGATATATTTAAAGTGAACTGTAATATATCTGAACTAATCTGTAGCCACCAAGTATGAAGACTGTGGCTGTAAACTGTGTGTCTGATCAATGTGGCTTGGTCCATGTGAAAGAACTGTATCATCTGACTGTAATACTACTCAAAACATCCTTCAAGAACACACATTAGTAAAGCATCACCGTTTCTACCAAAGGAGTATTTGAGATGATACATATTCTATTTAAGTAATGTCATCAACAAAGGTCAAAGATAAATGGAGATGATGGTGCCTACATAAATACTTATCATCTACGTATGGTTTCAGCTTCCAATACCTTATAAAATGTATTTATTGAATGAAATGTATCTTGATACCATCAAATCTGAACCTTATGAGACTGCTTTGTGTCTCATTGCAGATTCCTTTAGTTTCTTTGTAGAGATTATATTTTTAATGCTATAAACAAACACAACATTTTAACATAAGATGTTTATTACAAACTGACATATGTTCTCACACCAGGGTTCATAAAGATGAGAGTTTCCCAACATTAACCATGGGTAATAACAATCCGGGAAATATCATTCCAGCTCAGTAAGGAAGGGTTTCTTCACACAATGTTGCCTCTGTTTCTGTTGTTGTCGATGCTGATGCTGCATGCTGTGCACTGTGTGGGTGGCAGGTGATTCGGGAGAGAAGGAGGTTACTGTGGTCACTCCACGCACCTTGTTGACAGATGGGCAGTGGGATGGGAAGGTTTCCTGCACAGATATTTAAAGAGGCCATTTAAGTACAACAGTAATAGTTCCGCTAGAACTGTGTAAACTGTTTGAAATGGACATTTAATGGTTTATTGCTTTGAAATCATACAAGACAAGATCCAGCCACTGGGCTGTAGCTCACCTGAATATCAGCTAAACATATACTTGCAAATTACATCATAAACTTAGACATGGGTAATGAACAAAACTAAAACTATACAATAATAACAAAAGCTCATAGCTGCATGTGCACTGAATTACATAGTTATACATAAGAACATGTCTTAGTAATGAACAAACATGTTCATCAGCAGTAGCTATGATGTAAGATGCACTTTGTGCCATACATGAAAATACGTATCAAAGGATACAATATTTCCATACAACACAGTAAGTCATGATCAAATGTATGGCTAACTAGAAAGTGTTTTTACTCATAAAAACAGGTGTCTCCCTCTTCCCCCAATTCAACGTTGAGACCTCAAACAATTCATATGATTCTTTCAATTTCAAAATCTCTAAGTATGAAAATACATGAAGATTGTTCAAGTAGTTTTAGAGTTATATTCCAGAAACAATGGGAACGCCTCCGCCGCCAGAAACTCAACCAAAAACAATATGTCTCCCGACCCTTCAGGGGGAGACATAACTCTCAGTATAGCATCCGTGTCACAATCAGATCAAACTTCTGCAATTGTAGAGGCATCTCTACTCATTTCTGTGATCTTCAAAGATATCTTTTAGCTTCTGGTGCCAAGACATCTGCACCTGCATGTACAGGGCTATGTACAGATCAGAAGCAAAAGCAGAATAACTATGAAAATGTATTTCAGTCACTCACCAGCTGACATTCAAAGTTACCTTTATGCTATATGTAATCATGACTAAAACCAACAACAAAGGAAAGCCTGTCCTTGCAGTTTGTTCTGCTTGATATGAAACAACAGTATTATTTCAAGTTAACATTCTCAAAAGAATATATAATTAATCTAAACGATCTGAGTGTGGTAAAGAGGTTACTGAAATTTAAAAAGTTTGTGCAGCTTTGTCAACAATTGCAGATAGTGCTGAGAGAAACTAATAATAACCATCTGCTCTCTTTCTAAATGCTTTGATTAAATCTTATTTTAATCCACTGACTCCACTGAAATGCAACAAATCCTAGAGGAATATCAGCTATGAACATTTGGCTTCTGAGATAAAAGAAGTCTAAAATTTGCTAGAATGGTGGGATATTTAAAAAAAACAATATAACTGAACAGTTTGTTTGATTAACAACTTTAAGTGACATTATGGTCCTTCATAAAATGTGAGCTCTCTAGGACTAGTAGTATCTAAGAAAAATTTCTAAAACTTTTTTAAATATGAAATTTAATTCATTAATTCATTCTATTCCTATTTTTTACATAATTACATAAGCAAACCTGAATCCCACTGTATTACACATACTGGGATTGTTTCACATCCCTATGGACCTTGTGCTTGTTAAAGCTTTTTCATGATCCGACTGTGTTTTTCCTTCCTGTTAAAAACAAACTGTTGTTGTTTTTTATATAAATGCTATCAAGAAATCAGATGCTTTTCATTGTTCAAGCCTTATTGCTAAAGTTTAGGAACATCCCTTCAGCTGGTCAGAAACAGATGGATGGAAAGAAGATTTACCATGTTGTAAACTTACCTTCACCTGCAGTATGGCAAGATAAACTTTCCTAAAACACAACATATGTAGAAGACTAGTGAAATCAGAGACCATATGGTCTCTGGTGAAATATGATGCATCTGTCATCAAGTGACGTGAAAAACATGATATTTGCACGAATGCTGTAGCCACAACTTGGGGCATGGTGGCTAGTGATCCAGCAAGCTTAAGGTGCCGGAATCAAACCCACCTGTGATCGGGTGTAAAAAAACCTTGTAGTCAACTTTTTTTGCAGACTCTTTCAGTGTTGTCACAACCCCTAGTGTACAGTACACAACCCTGTGCACTAAAGAACCCACGAATCCGTTGGTAAATGGCCAGATGGTGGTCACATGAATACATGCAAACACCTACTGGAAAACAAGGATAAGTTGGACCGGTGTAGAGAACGCGTTTATGAGAAGTAGGCGGTGCATGGCAATGAGCAAACCCATTTGGTTTGTGAAAGGTAGAGCAGATGTAGGCTAGTGCACGTGCAGTGCATGACACACGCCTTGCTCATAAGACTCTCACATGGTCGGTGTAGCGCTACACTTGATCGGGACAACCTGGGGCCCCTTCGCGCACAATGGCAAGCGCCAGTGGGCGGCACTCATACATGCTAATACGGGTCAATTCCCCATAGTAACAGAAGTCAACATGTCTACAAAGATCTTGGGAAGCGTCATCTATAATCCTTTGTCATGAAAAGGAAAAACTTTTTTGGGTGGTTCTGTGACAACTTGGGGTGGGATATATAAGTGCCCTTCAGAGAACCTCCTTAGTTGTTCAGGGGAATCTGACGTGTGTGGGCTACAGAGATCAGATGCTCTTCTACCTCATGGCCCAGGATTGGCATTACAACAGGCTAATGCCTCGCCTCCCAGTGGTGGGGTTGCTATGGCCTTGCTTCAACAAAACAATGTTCAAGTACTGCCATGGCCTGCAAATTCTCCAGATCTCTCCCCCTATGGTGTCCAGACAAATCCCCACACAGACAATTTTCCTCACTTGAACAACACATTCTGTAATAAATACATAGAGGCACAGTATCCGACACACAGGTGATAACAATGATTACATTTGCACATTCTTTCCTTCAGCCAAGACGAATGTTCTTTGAAATGGATATCAGGACCTGTTCCAGGGATTTCTGTCCAGCACTATATGCAACACAAAGGTTCTTAAGTCGTTGTTGGTGATCTTTGGATGCTTTCTTGACACGCTTGGAGGGAGGTTGACTATTGTCATCTTGGTGCAATACTGTCAGTACTTTCCCTGCATCCTTCTGTAGATGTTCTATTGTTCTTCCACACAGACAGATGACTGTGTCAAATCAACTGCTGGAAGCCACGGTTCCAGATTTCATAGAGATTATTTGTACGGTCAGCATCGTTCACCGTAGCCTGTGGCTCATTCCAGAGCTGAGGAGGATACAGTGGCAGAACACGGTGCATTCTCATCCCTGGAATGGTACCATCAGCAGAGCGAGGGGGTTGAATGCAGCGGTAGGAACCGTTGACATATGTTGACTCGAAATAGGCAACCAGATCATCTAGGGCTTCTGGAATTGATCTTTTACGTAGTTCATGCCAGCAGCAACATCTTCAACAGAAGAACGTCGAGCATAGCACAGAATTCTTTGTACTGTACTTCCTCATCTTCTTTGTACTGTGAAGATTCCCAAATTCTGGATTTTGCGCCATGTGCTCTGTGCCAGGTGGTAGAACAACCCTGCAGCCTGACGTGATCACCAAACACAGAAGTTACAGCTTGTAGAGTCATTGCAATTGTTTTGTAACTACTTCTTCAGAACTCAACAACACAAATCATAAACAAGAGTCATCAGAAGATGACATATCCCCCCGGCCCCCACATATTTGAAAGAACAAATCATCTGACAGTTACTTAAAGTCCAGCTTGATATTTTTTAAGACTAAGTCCAAATTGTTTCCATGGAAATCGATAAAAATATAAATGCCAAAAATCTGTAAATAGCAAAAGGCACCACTTCAAGATCTGCCAAGGTTCTGTTGACAGATATTGAACGGTTTTCGAGTTGTGCTCCTGGAAACGAAGCCCACCCTTCCCTTTTGAGACTAAGTCCGAATCGTTTCCATGGAAACCGGGAAAAATAAAAATGCCAAACATCTGCAAATAGCAAAGGCACATGCCGGGGGGATAAAAAAAACCTAAGGTGTGGGGAATTGTCACTCATGTGATGGGGAATTGTCTTCTGGGGAATTGTCTTCTGGAAAATTGTCCGGTGGGGAAATGTCTGTGTGGTGAATTGTCTGTGTGTGGAATTGTCCTACACCCCCTTCCCTATATAGCATGTGTGGCATGAAATGGATTGACATCTACGCCATGTACCCAATCCGCAAGATAACTTTCTTGATTTGGAAGAAGAGTTGCAGAGAATATGGCAAGCCTTCCATGCCTGCTTGATTAGACTCTATGTGTTGACGAATGCACTGCTGTTCTCATTGCTCATAGTGGGCAGTTACTTATTGTGGCTGGTATGCAAAGAAAAAATTCAAATAAAACAACACATAATCTCAGAATTGAGTTTACTATATAAAACGTTATATTGATTATAAGACAAACTGTGGTAGCTATTTTATTTATTTCTAAAATAGAAAGACAGTTCAGAGCTTGAAATAAACATACCATTGATTAGGTCAAAGTATCAGTTTTCTACTTTCTACTTACAACAGATGCGTAAAACAAGGACACAAATTGATCTGACTAAACTAGCTTTTTAGAGAACAATTCAGAGTGAGTCTATTGAACCAAGTACAAAATTTTGAAAGTCAGCAGCAACAAAACTTCTCTACAGGCAACGCATGCGCGTCGTCATATAAGCGAAATATTCTTACGTGCGATGTTAAACTCAATTTCACTCACCTCACCTCGCCTCTACAGGCAATGAGGCACAATAAACATTATAATGTCTAAAGGCAATAAGCTCATCTGGCATAATCTTTGTTGGATGAAAGTTATATGCAATGATATCGTCAACTGTCAAGTATGGAACATATGGCAATTGTAAGGGTATTAAATGGTTTATTTAAAATTGTTCGACTCAGTAAGGTAGTGTGTTTAATAAGGGAGGATAGTACTTGAGATTATGAATTTGTTTCCATCTTATTTAAAAACTAACATTCAATGAAAACATGCTATGAATTTTTACATGAGTTGCCCCATTGCCATCTTGGATCTTCCTTGAAACCTTTTTCAAATAAATCATATACTATCATCATTTGTTAATTTTTATATGTAAAAATGAAGAACATCGACATATTCAAAATACCCAGTATACATTTCAACATTTCTTGAATAACAGTACATCCATGAGCATGCCAAGGTACAGCATATATTAAACTGTTTAGTTCAATTAAAAGTATTGTTTCACAACATGTAGTAGTATGTGATTTTTCTCTTCAGCTTCTATCTAATCCTGATGTGTTCCTCATGGCTCAACCATTCATTACTAACTTGCTTCACTGTTGCCATAGCAGAACAGAACAGAACAGAAGTACCGGTATCATGTTTTCTCATAATCGAACACAAACAATTCTGGAACACTTGTTTGCATTAACAATATTTTTCACAAGGTTGGTATTGTCTGTTTCATTTCATGACCACTACAAGCTCGTTCCAAGTCATGATTGAATTTATCTTAAAGACTCCAAGAAATTAATGTTCCTAACCTACTAGTCATTCTTTAAAGATGTGAAATTTGCAAATGCATTTTGTGAAGACTGAGGAACACAATTCATTAAAACATCCCCATAATATTCAGTATTAAAGACCTTCTTGTTCAGTAAATATTGAATGAAAACCTATGTCAGGCATTATCTGTCATTTATAAGAAACAGAAGGAGAGTGCACTGATGGGAATATGTTGATAACAATATCATCCAAATTCTTCTGTGAGTTACAACAATTCCTCCATAGGTTTATATACTGGTGTACCATGCCATAACATCCTCCTGGCCAGGCTTGCTATTGGGGATATTTCCCCAAAACTATCTCATGTTGGAGAAGTACTATTCTATTGATAAATTGAGTTTTTAAATGGGTGATACAGCCACATGGGTTGAGATAAGATTGATCAATAACTCCAGAGTTTTTTCATATTTCCCCCCTGATTTTTAAGAATCTTTTCAGGACGGGCTGTCTATTTCGTAAACTTTGTCCATATCAGTCCCTAGTCTATCAACATACCGGTAGATGGATATTGTCAACATTAGGGCAGTGCAGACGAATTATCCGATGATTCAGAGCTTGTGTGAACAATTTCAAGATGTTCACACATTTGTTTGCCAGCCTCACCTTTTCTGTTTCTCTTTTCCTAGCATGAGACATGCTCCTGCTGCCCTTCGTAGGGCACTTGAGAGAGTCAAAAAGTCCTGAGGTAAGGCCAAGAGGGTTGAAGGTGTCCAGGACATCGATCTGCAAAAGAAAATGTAGATAAAAATGTGTCAAATGCAACCATAACATTTAGTCATTGGCACTGAATATTTTCTTTTTCTTGCCATATCCTGAATAAGAACACCTAATGTTTCTACTATCTGAAAATAAGCTTGATATTTGCCTTGAATATGTTTTCTTAAATCATGTCATCATTCAAAAGGGTAAATGCAGTTTCAGTGGAAGTGAAAAGCATAATATATAAATTATAAATTAAATTTCCCTGAAAATACTACTTACATTCAAAAAACAAGGTACTGATAACAAGCAAAAAACTGTTAGCAAAGGCTCACTAGTACCTCCAATCGTGACTCACAACTTCAGCTGAATAACAACTAAAAATGATTATTCTTGACAACAATGCAAGATCTACCTGCATCCAACCTTGCACTGCACCTTTCCTATGAACAAACAACCCATTATCCAAATCTGAAAGCAAACCATTAAATGATTGTCGCATCTATTGCAATAAAGAAGTCTATCCATAAAACTGGTTCCTCTTAATCCATTAAATGATTGTAGTGTTAATGGTTGAACAAATTTGATGTGGAACTTTTTACATGTATCTCCAACCTTTCTGGTCAGGGGTATAAAAACTCCTATCTTCTATTGGACATAGACATTCTTCTATATGTTGTTTACAGATGAAAATCATTATTTTAACAAAAATGTTGGAAATAAACAAGAAAACAATACTTGTTTTTGTTTGAAATTCAGTGCTGTGTTGGCAATAATCTGTCTGTAATTCTCAAATTTCTCCTATGTGTACTGCTGTGTAATATCCAGGAACCTAAGTTGCCCACAATGACCTTCAGAATCATAAAGCACAGTCCAAATTTAATGAAAACTTTGACTTTACATCATCAACAGGATCTTGGAAAACACTATGATAATATATGAAGATTATGACAGATATGTGTTGACCTCAATCTTCATGAATCAGCTTTTTTCACAGGAAACAGGTTTGCGTATTTCGCTTTAGCTTTGGTGCAATCTTTCTTTCACACGTCTTGCTAAATTCATATTTCATGAATAAATTTTTTATGGATTGTCACCAACATACTTTCAGAACTGTATTACGCTGACATCCACCACTGTCCATTAAAACAAAGGAAACCGATTGATGGCCTAGCAGACAATCATCACCGACAATGTACTTTTATTTATCAATTTTTTATGCATTCACAGTTACAAATTTTTCAGAACTGGACTGTGTTGACATTCATAATTGTCCATTAGAACAAAGGAAAGACTGCTGGACTGATGACCCAGTGGACAATCATCACTGACAATAATGTCCTTTCATCAATTATACAGACTGAAACAAGACACAAGTTACTATTTGTTGTCAAATATGCAAGATACACATGACCACTGTGCCTGTTGTAGGAGCTTGGGGTAAACACTGCTTCCGCACACTACTCATACAATGTAGAATCAATCTACAGGCAGCTCGCAGTCCCTTCTCATAGCCAACCTCCAGCAGTCGTAACTACCTCATTAAAATGATCCATGCTGAAAAATCACTGTAGTCTTGCAAACATGATACTAAGTAAATGACATTTTTTGGCAGAAACATTTCACAAATAGCAAGAGGGCAAGCTGATATGACAATGGCAAGCTTATCAAACTTATCAAGCATTTTGGCTCAAAATGGATGTCAGTTTTATAATCATTACCAGGTATGATTGCATGATATGCTTCCAGTAAAATAAATGGTAATAGCCTACTGTAACAGAGAAATCCAATACCAAACATTACAGTTTGGCATTTTGGTAGCATTTTGAGAAGTTGGGAAAACATTAACACATTTGGAAGAAAATGATTGATGTCATAAAAGAGCCATAATCATCTCTCTTACGAAATACAAATAAAATACAAAACTAAAAGATATATTGTCTTAAACTATTAATTACAGTATTAAGACATTACATGATAGAAGTTTCTTTTAGATAGAATGTTACATGACTGAGATATTGGCTATAAGATTCTAAAATGTAAATTATTTTCATCTACTTGATAGCAAAAAGGTGCAATTTTGAATAATAGCAACGACTTTCAATATTCCCATTCAGAAAACGGCAAAGTGCCTTGGACATAAGAGATCAATCATATGGAAAATTTTAAATGTTCATTACATTAATGTTAAAAAGAGAAAAAAAGAATTACACATTTTAATTTATGGGGTAGAACTGTTTAAAAGGTTCATATGTATTTCTTGTGTACTAAAAAGAATGATTTGAAAATTTGAAATATATAAGGAAATTGTTTTGGAACAGTTTAGTCAAGCTGACCAACATAATCTGTGCTGTATACACATCCTTCTACATTCAATTAAGATATAAAATACTAATTTAAGTGCTTTTAGATTTCTTATTCAACACACAAAAACTTAAAAATTACTACACTTCATGGAACTTGGAATATCTCTGAAGAAGTTTTAGAGATTTTCATTTTTTATGCAGTTGAACATACTTCCTGACACATTTAACATTTATTTAATAATCTTCAAATGTGCTTACAGTAATACTTATCACAAACCAGGAAATCAAATTTTGATTGCTACCAAATTTAAAACAGTGCTTGAAGAGATGCTCTAAATAAATTGCCAATATATAATATGATTGATTTTGATTGGGAACCATAAAAGTAAATCATAAGGCTAAGCATGCTAAGTAAGCATTCTTTGATCTACAGCATATACACATAGAAAAAAGTATTGCAACACATATGCTTTTTAACCCCCATACAGACATTTATATTATAATTATGTTTATTATATTGCTGAGTTTGGCATACCATACACTGACTTTAGATATGCACATGCTAAGATTAATGGCAAGCATCACAAGCAATATGTGTACTCATCATTAAGCAAATATCAAGTTCAGCAAGCCGTTCTTACAGCTCGATATCTTGGAAAATCCACTGATTTCGTTGTTGAGGAGTAAATATTTGGGCCTCCTCAACAGACAGCTGTTCAAAGATGGCAAGTTATGAGGAATGCTGGCATGTCATTTAGGGCTATTGCAAGAAATGTAAGAGATGTTGGTCGTCATCTATTGACTGTCAGCTGATTGACTTGGAATATAGCCAGAAAAAAAACTATCAGACATCCGTCCCCAGAGCACAAAACAGTATGACTAGCTTGGTATCAAGCTTGATGTCACTGGAATTTGAGGTCATGGGGAAGGAAGGGTCCACTGGTCAGATGAATGTTGATTTCTTTTGTTCATGACTGGTGTTCAAGCTCATGTTTGGTGCCACAGAAATGCTGCATATGCATGGAATATTTTGGAGCAAGTACCATATGACTGGGGTTCATTGATGGTGTGAGTGAGTGTGCGTGTGAATAAAAATTTAACGGCACCTCGGCAATATTTCAGCCATATTAGTCCAGTCAAAATGTGACAAAACCTCAAAATAATTGGTACAGAAATGATTTGAGTGTTTTCAACATGTTTAAGCTGTAACTAAAAAGTCCTCCCTTGAAATATGATGCTAAGACCTAATTTTGGGGGTAAAAAGATAAAAAATTGAAATTTCCAGTGAATAATTTTTAAATCTCATATTGAGACACAAATTTAACTTTTTATATATATTTTCAAAGAGAACACAAGGTACTACTAATAAATGGATTAGAAAAGTCAAATAATTTTATGCCAATTCCTATTTTGGGGTAAAAAGTTAAAAAATTGAAAAGTCAAATAAATTTATTCTAAATCCTATTATGGAGTAAAAAATTGAAAAGATGAAATTTTCAGAGAATAATTTTTAAAATCTCATATTGAGACCCAAATGTACTCTTATGTGTATAGTTTCAAAGAGGATACATGGAACTACTAATACATGGGCTTGAAAAGAGTCATATAATTTGAATAAAACCATAGACAAAAGACTTTTCAGAGCACATATTTTGTATTTTCAAGGGTAAAATAAACACAACTTCAGGAACATGCAATTTAGTTCCTCTTTCTGTCTCATCAAAGTTATGAACTTGAGCCCTGTGCTATTTTAAGATGTTGAAATGTGTATTTATTGTTTCCTTGGCAATAAGTTTGACTTTGTCCATGGTAGTATACTTGCAACTTCTATGTCCAAAGCCAATAGGAGTTCAATTAAGAAACTAAGTGGTGCCTTTGCTCTACAGGTACTTGTCCATGACACTAAGTTTAGGTTTACTAAAAGAAGAGAGTATTTATTGCTAAAGACTGCAATCTGCATCAATATTTTTCTGCTGTAACCTCATGGAACTGATTGAAGTACACGGGACCAGATCATGCATGACTGAACTACCATGTCAACATATGGGTCACAAATTCTCACAGTGAATCCATTACAGTGGCCTAGGTGAGATATTATCTGTCAAATACAACCAGCTGACTTCCATGTGAATATTATTGTGTAGATCACTTGACTCTGGTTAACCTAATATATGTGGCTTATCAAAATGTGTACCGACATTGTACTTCTTTGTCTGACCACTCACAAACAGCTTTGACTCTGGGATTCAGGTTGATCATAGGCATGAAGGTGACATAACTCAATACAGAGAATGATACAATCTAGTGATTCATTTAATATTCTACATGAATTGATCAAGACATCAAGCAATTTGATTCAGCATCTCCGTAACATATGAACCCAGGACATATGAACCCATTAATTTAGCGCATCAACACCTCGGCATCTTTGGCAAACAGTCACCTGATTGGCAAAAACGTCATCGGTATGCGTTAATCCATGTTCTCAGGTTGATCTATATTCTCTGCTGCAAACTGAAGGAATGAACTAAATGTAACTAGAGACAGTAATAACTGAACAAGATATTAATTAACATATCAGGTGGCTTGAATGTTAGTGATGGTGACCCTGAACACCATGGGCTTTTCAATGGGGTAACAGAGATAGATACCCTTGGTCTCATAGTCTGTATATTTGAAGTAATTTTCAGTATCATGCTAGGCGAGAATGCTATTCCA